AATAAACTTAATAAACATTCAGCTTTTCCCTTTACCCCACAACAGTCTAAAGAGTATGTGACCAAGATAATTAATAGACTTATCTATCTATATCATAGGACCATTTGAACAATGTTCTTTGTTTTTATTTGCATTGTGTTCTGAAAATTTCATGCTACATTTATTCCAGTTTCATCATCCGTCTGAGCTTGTTGGTCTTCTTTGTAATGGTGACCTCATCCATCTGGTTTATGGTCAAAAGACACAGTAAGTATCGTATATGGTGAAGTGATACATGTAGATAGATAGATAGATAGATAGATAGATAGATAGATAGATAGATACTTCATTTATCCGAGAGAAATTCAAGAAAAATGAGGAACACTTCACAAATTTGTTGGCCATGCTAATGCATGCATGCTAATTTCTCCATGGGCTAATCTTCTCTGTATTTAGCATGGCCCCCCCCCCCCCCTCTGCGCAAGGATGACACACAAATTTGTGAAGCGTTCCTTGAATTTCCCTCTAAATTGGACTGAAATATTTAGTTTGAAATGAGGACTATTGTGCATTACTGACAATGAGCATTCAGAGTCAGTAATGGGTCTTTTTCTTTTTTAGAGCAGACCAAAGAATCATCAGCCACATCAACGGTAAATTATGCTGATTCATTACCCAATGTATAGTACCTATAGTTTTGTAAAAATGGTCATGTTGCTGGAATTTAACAAAACTGTCTGACTCACACGCAGGCTGAAGAGCAAGTAAAATACACGAGAAAAACGTCAGGTGAGGTAATTTTTAACCATTGAAACCAATATGTGCAATACATAATATGCAATACACAGAAGCATGCTAAAACATGCATAAGTACATTTACATTTAAACAGATTTTACTATCCACGCTGGTAATCAAAAACAGAAACTTTCATATGTGTCTCTCTTTTCTTTACCCAGAGGTCGTATTCAGAGAGTGATGAGGAAGGAACATAAAGTTCTGTGGTTAAAGCAACAAGGTGTAAATCACAATAGGTGTGAAGATACACACACTCAGTCGACCGTTTTGTTGGTGGTCTCAGAAAGTCAAAATGTTGAATCATTTTTGCTTTGTCTTCTTTGTTCTACCTTCCTCATTTTAATTTTTCTCTTGTTCTCTTACAGGTTGAAAAGATTTTGTCTCAGCACCAAGTTTTTCCATGCATTTGTATCCACTTCTGCATTTATAAAGTAGTTGCAAAATATTATTGTCTTTAAGTTTATCCGCAGTATATGTATATTGAGTTCTCATTTATTAGGCATAAATTCACAATAATCTATTCCTAATTAATATTTTCAGGATGTAAACTAATGCAGCCTACACTATACACAACTTAGAATAGAGAATAAGATGTAAACTGAATAAAGTTAAACAACTTGCAGTAGTGGAGTACAAAATCATTTTATGTGAATTTTAGCTTTGTGAAGCAGCAAGCATTTAGAATTTAAAGAGCAACACGTAACTTGGTATTATCAGTGTATTGTAGAGTTATAGAAGGGAAGGAAATGTATATTATCTGCAGTGTTGGGAAATGCTATTTTGAAACCTGTTGAAGCTGAACGCAACTCTTCATTGGAAATGGTTACAGCAACACTACGCACACTCATAAAAAGCAGCTTAAAACATTAAAGATGCTTTAAGGAACAGCTACTTATAGTTCAATAAAGTATAGCAGTGTAAAGTAGTATAAATAAACACACTCTATTTTCTGCAATAATGTACGAGCACACAATACAAACGAATAAATGAAAAATATGTGGCTCTTTAAAGTCATGATGGTGAAAAATTGACTTTAAATGGTAAACAACTATACAACTAGACACATATAACTAAACATATAGCAATGCATACATATCAAACGGGTACACTAGAAGAGAATAAATAAATAAATAAATATCCTTATGGCCAGTACTGGCACGCAACCATGTCGTGACGTAAACCCTTTTTACTCAGGCGCGTCTGTGGGCCGTCCCGGGTCCTGAGGCGGGATGTGATAGGTCTGGTCTCATTGCGGTGCAGTCTCCTTCAGCTCGCCCTCCAACCGGTGACGCCTGCCTCGGCCGTGCGGTGTGAGGAACATCTCCAATAAAGTCACTTTAGTTTACTGCTAGCCCCTTTCTGCACCGGTAAGCGAGCCATTCATTCAGTCCAACGCAGTGAATCAACTCCACGACTAGCGGGAGTGAGTGTTTGAGTGCGCTTTACACCTACCGGCACTCTGCGAGCTAGCAGAGTTAGCCGGGCTAGCTTCGCTCCGGCGTGCCGCGTCTGACACATGTCCGGTAAAAGCGGGGAAGTTTAGCTTCGTACCGCGCGTCTTGTGTTGCCGACAAAGCTGCAGGTGTTCTGTGAAGATACTTTGAGAAAATCTTCACAGCTTAATACTCTTAACAGAGGCGGTGGTTGTGTTCACCAGGCTGTGGCCTAGTTAGCAGCAGTGGGGTTAGCCGGCTGACAGTGCGAGTGAACTGGCTAATTAATACATCCAGCTAACGTTAATTGGCACCGGCATGTGTCTGGACACGCCTAGGAGTGGCTGCCAGTTCCCGCGGAGGAGAAGTTTAATAAAGGCCAGGCCTGAACCAGCCACTCCAGTGCGGCAAAATGGCTTCTCTCTCGCTCAGTAACCTTGTCCATTGGCTGTCAGACTTCTTCTCCTCGGGACTGTCCGCATCCCAATGAAATGCTGTCGCTGTGTCAGAGGTGTCGGAGTCATAGCGAAACTAGCTAACTGTGTCCAGTCAGCAGTTACACCCTAACCTTTTTGATAACGTGACACTTATCATATCAGAGAGAGAGGGTTTTTACAGTGTGTAGCAAAGGTTGTGAGTCTCGGTGTTGTCCAGTATGAGCTGGCTGATACAGGTCAGTCTGCAGCAAGGGAGACCCAACAGGAGACTGCAGAGATATTGGCTGTAGATTCCCAGACTAGCTTTCCACTCAACAGGTGTGACAGGCAGAGGAAGATAAGATGCTGTAGTAGCTATCCTCATGTGAACCAGCCTTTCAAGAATAAATGCAGCTTATGTGCTTGCCTGCGTTTAACACATATCTATAGGTTTCTGAATAACTTGACAGAAGCTGGTGGAAATATACTTTTATGTCTGAGCAGTAATTTGAAGTTTGTGTTTTTGCTTCTGGTCACAGATACAATGGCTGTGCCTCCCTGCTATGCTGACCTGGGCAAGTCTGCCAAGGACATCTTCAACAAAGGCTATGGTATGGTTTCTTAGTTACCTGGCTACTGTGATGGAAAGCCTTCTGTACTGCCAAGTCCAGTTGATTTTGTTTGACAAGCTTTGAATTGGTTTAAACAAAACCTCCTTGTTTTCTTCAGGATTTGGCTTGGTGAAGCTCGACGTCAAGACAAAGTCAGCCAGTGGAGTGGTAAGGCCATTTCCTTGGGGATATGAATAGAATAAGAAGATAAGAATAGAACAACGTACTTCATGATCTCTTAAGTAGGAAAACTGCACATTAAGCTGCAACCCAAAACAGTGAAGTCCAACCACAATAAAGTCTTCTTTTTTTTTAGCTGTGTAGTTTACAATAATAAATAATCTTTTCTCTAAAAAGAGAGAAGGAAAAGACATCTTCAAATTGTCTTTTGTCTGATCAATAGTCTAAACGGTGTTACCTTTTTAGAATAAGCTGTTTTATATCTACAGATGCTGCCATGTTTCTAAAGTAGCCCACAACAGAAACCTGGCTGTAGATAGGGCTGTTGGTGTTTTTTGCACATTTCGCAGCCACTGTACGTTCTCATTTGCACATAAAAGAGGAGCGAGTTGCAGTCTGCAATTACACCACTAGATGCCAATAGATCCTATACACTGGACCTTTTTTAAGCTTTTCTCGTTATTGTCGTTTCACTAAAATTGTCTCTTGCAGGAATTCAAAACAACTGGTTCCTCCAACACTGACACCAGCAAAGTTGCTGGCAGTCTGGAAACTAAATACAAGAGGTCAGAATACGGCCTGACCTTCACTGAGAAGTGGAACACTGACAACACTTTGGGAACAGAAATCACTGTTGAAGATCAGGTTTGAAAATATTCCAAACATTTTGTTGTTCAACAGGTGTCAAACGTGATTGTCTACCCAGTGAGCACCACAGGACAACATTAATTTGCCAAATGGCTTCTGTTATTGTTTCTCACAGATTGCCAAGGGGCTGAAGTTGACTTTTGACACAACCTTCTCTCCAAACACTGGGTAAGATTAGGGTTGGATTAATAAATGATTAATTTATGGAAAAGTTAGTTCCATGTGAATTTCACTTCTCTTTACTCATTGGTCACCATACTTAAACGTAGTCAGCCCTGCCTGTTTCTTCTCTACACAAGTCATTTTGGCAACTTGATCTGTGCTGTACATGCTTGTGACAAGTGTAGTTGCCGGCCATATGACCCCCAGTCCCAATATGGAAGTAGTCTATTGTAACGCATTGCTGTGATTGGCTGTCAGGTTTCCCATATGTTTGCTCAAATGATGTTTTGCAGTATGTTTTACTGGCAGGTACAATAAAAACCTCAAGTGTTACTAGTATGCCCAGATGGCTCAGGCAATCCTTAATGCGTTTGCTTTCTATGAGGTCTAAATCACATGAGGGATATGGCACATGGCCCAGAGGAAGCGTGTCCTGTTTCATATTGAGTGTGGTACGGTTTGTGAGGGTCAAGTTATGTGGCTACACTGAGACAGCATGTTCAAGGGTACAGTGTCATGCTCAGACTGGGAAATGAACACCAGCACTGAGACAAATGCTGGTTTAAGAAAGTGTCTGATGATTTTTCTTTTTTCTTTGTTCCAGTGATATGGCCTTGGAATAAAAATAATTTTCTTATCTTGTTTGCTACTTGAGTTGACAGCTGGCAGACAGCACAGGTTTAGAATTATCTCTTGGGAATCATAAATCTGTGGCAGTGGTTTAAAAAGTGGGTGCTGCTACACCCTGGGGGGCTTTGAGGATGAGCCAGGGTTTCATAAGATTTGTTCCATTTCTATTTTTTAATGTTTCCACATTTAAAATGGACAACAATGACGAGAAATAAGTTAAATTCAGGCCTGACAAAGATTAGCTATAAGGCATGCCGTTATGGACACTCAGGAGCCTTTAATGTGTTGGTTAAACTGATTAAGTTTGCCTTGACAGTTGATTGATTCTTGAGTTCTGCCGTGTCTGTAATTTTGGTCAGCTGTCTTATTTGAGCAGTTTGATTCAAGACGGCTGCTGTAAACATATTTGTTATAACCTGTTTCAGTATTCCAGTATTTTACATTTTGTACAACTGTAGTCCTGTTCTTCCCTGTAGAACATGCACCATATTGTCTGCATCTTCTAGCCATCTGTAGTCTAATATTCTTTTTTTTCCTACTTTCAGTTCATAGAAGAGTTTGTTTGTTTTTACCTGTTAAACAATCAAAATGTGTAAATTTAAAGACCTTGTAGCACCATGTTAAATGTCCCTAAAGCATACTGCAAAAAATGTAATCTTTATCTTATCATTTTTATTTTTTGTAATACCTTATCTGACTTGATTGGGATTTGAGTTAAGGTTACCAAAAGCTCATTCTCATCAACAGCAAGAAGAGTGGCAAAGTCAAGACCGCCTACAAGCGTGAGTTCGTTAACATGGGCTGTGATGTGGACTTTGACTTCGCTGGCCCCACCATCCACGGAGCTGCTGTCGTTGGATACGAGGGGTGGCTCGCCGGTTACCAGATGAGCTTTGACACCGCCAAATCCAAGATGACCCAGAACAACTTTGCTATTGGCTACAAGACTGGAGACTTCCAGTTGCACACCAACGTGTAAGTAGAATACTTTTAGTAAAAGTAAAGATTGGGTTACATAATTTCTTTGCACTTTATTCTGTAAGAGGAATCCATTCACTTTATCTAATCTATTGTTTCTGTTTTATTGATGGCTGTACACATCCAGTCAATTACAAGTGAGAAAAGGCAGATTTAATCTACACTGTGTTCTCCAGATTGATTAAACATGGAAACCCTCTCAGTGGGTGAATGAATGAAAACAAAGTCTAATTTAGTATTTCAATAAGATGTTGAACTTTAATTTAAGCTTTAACTGCAGCTATAACAGTAAAATGAATGGTGGTTGTTTAATTCAACCAGTACAGTCATATCTATCAGTGGAGCCATTTGGCCCTGCACTAAAGCTTATTTACTAATCCCAGTTGGTCTTATAGCTATTGATTTGTCCTAAATGTACGAAATACCTCCGAATTGGTATGTGGTCTGAGGGAAAGTTGGCTCCCAGGGAAAGATTTTCCTTTCTTTGATGAAACAGTCCAGAATTAAATAATTGCAAACCAAATAAAGTAGATGAAAATGTTCCGATGGCGAGGCCTCTTTCATTAGAATGTCCGTCTGCATTTCCTGTAGCATGAGATGACTCCTTATGCATATGTTCTTTTTAAAGCAATGACGGAGCTGAGTTTGGAGGCTCCATCTACCAGAAGGTGAGCGACAAGCTGGAGACGGCAGTCAACCTGGCCTGGACCGCTGGCAGCAACAGCACACGCTTCGGTATTGCAGCCAAATACCAGCTGGACAAGGATGCCTCCGTCAGTGTAAGTAGTGCAGCAGAGAGGCTTTCAGAGTGGGCTGAGTGACGCTAAATGAACCATTAATTGTCACCAACTGACTTTTATTGTTTGTTTTTCGACAGGCTAAAGTGAACAACAATAGCCTTGTTGGTGTTGGGTACACCCAGACACTTAGACCAGGTAAGTTTGTTTCCTACTGGTTCATGGACTACTGGAGGACAACATATTTATCAACAAGTTAACAGAAGTTTAGTTGTTACTTTTTTTAAATATTTTCTTAGTACACACTTTTAGGCTCCACACTAGAATCCTTGCACACAGCACTTTAGTTTTGAGCAAACACTCTGTAAACGACTTGACCTAGAATAAAGTCATTTATAGCAACACGAACAGCCTACATTCCCTGTCAACCTTCAGAAGTCTCAGAAACCTCCATGTTTTGAGGTCGGTAATTTTGCATTTGCACGTGTAATGGCTAATGTTGGTTCCTCTCGCCCGTGCAGGTGTGAAACTCACCCTGTCTGGCCTGGTCGATGGCAAGAACATCAACGCAGGAGGCCACAAGCTGGGTCTGGGCTTGGAACTGGAAGCCTAAGCTTTCTTCATACTGCAAGGAACTAGGGGATATCAGATGAATCTGGCCTTAATGTATGTCCAACTCAAACCAGCAGTGGGATATCTTTTGGAGAGATTGGTTCAAAGGCTACGACAACAAACTTGTGGAGCACCACTTCAAGCTGGTGCTTCTGTCATTGGTATATTTTACCTCTGTTGCTTTTTACTTTGTAGTTCTCTATTCAAGAGACAGTTGGTGGCATATTATTTATAAATTGTCATTTGTCCTGTCCATTACTGCCATAATAATGAAATCCAATACAATCCCTTTACCTGTCATCATGTCTGTGTGGCTTTATTGTGATAATCCCAGACACTCCGTTTTTTGTGAGAACATCAGTTTACGGTTTTGTGTGGTGAGCGTTTTCATACCTTCTCTCTGATTTTACAATCATAACCATCTGATATTCCTTTGTCATCTACAGTTCTCATTTGCAAACCATGTTAATTACACTAGGCTTTTTCTGCTATTATTTAAAAATATGCTGCACCCTTCCTGTTCATGCACACAAGGACAAACTAAAGTTCTGTCGTGTTTTGTTTCGTGTCGGCCATCAAGGTTTGCGATGTTCTGTTAAAGCTCCCCTTAAACTGGGCAGTTTCTGGGTTGCTTAAAAGTGGGGTCTAAGTTTCAGAAACCTGTACACTTGGCCGACCAAGCAGAATTTTGTTTTTGTTTATTCTGTACTAACAGGTACTGGGGGGGGGCAAGTAATCAATGTTCACAGTAATGCCAAACTATCGGTGTCCGGAAGAGGCGTAACATTAAGTTGCACCTGTGCACTCTTGGAAAGTTCTTCCCTGTACTGGGCAGAGACGGCGCCCACATGATGTCTTGGAGGTCCTTATGTGTATGTATGAATTTTCAATAAAGTCTTTGAACTCCACAAATGCATTTTTAATATGTGGTATTGAAGTTCCATTAACTGCTCATTAACTAGCTTGTTTGGTTACTGTTAACCCTTTTACAAGACTTTTATCATACAGAGTTTAATGTGATTGACTGTGCACAAATTGAATTTATAACTGGGTGGTAGTCCAAGAGCCTCTGAAAATGTTCCCTTAATTTTCACATTGTGAGTGTGGTACAGTTGATTTGAAGTTGTGTTGAAGGCTATACAGTCTACACCAAAAAGAAAATGTGGAAGCATGTTTTAAAAATCTTGCAAACATTTTAAAAAGTTCAGACTATCCAGTTAATTGTAATAGAAGCACCAGTTCACAGTTCAACATTGAACTCAGAACCTGAACTTCTGCAGTTTCTGGAGCAAGACGACTGAAGGACCTTCAAAGTAGATAAAGGAGAGACTGGGAATAAATGAAAGACAACCAGCTGTCATGTTTTAAGGTATAACTGATACAGTTAGTCTGTGCATTTATCCACATCACCCCTCATCTATATGTGTACAATGACCTTAAAAGTCATACTTAAGATGGGATGTCTTTTCAAATACCCACCTATGTGTGACATGTCCTGCCTCTAATGACACTAAGATGATCATGTGTGCACTGACAAGACTAATTTCGGGGTTACAGAATAGTACGTGGTAGCAAAAAGTGTTATTTACTGTCAGTCTTTAGTGGTTTATAAGGAATGGTACTGGCCTGTTTAAAATAATCTTAAAATGGTTTGATATTGACCTACTGGAACCCTCTCCTGCTCCTCAGGTAATCTCACCATGTGATATATGGAGTTTAGTGCATGTGTTTAGATACAGTTCAGTATCAAAGCAGCATAATTGCATTAAGTGTAGTGGTTTATTGCAGGAAAGGGGGAAATTAGCATTCATGGATTAAGAATATAGTAGAATAATCAGAAACAGCATGTCAGTGTAAGCAGACCCACTACATCCATTGCGCTGAATCCACAGAAGCGCCACCAAAATATGAGTTGATAGTTGGTAGTTTATTTCTCAGCACATACCAAAGCAAGTAAAGATGGACACATTTAAATGTAACTGCATCTTTTACATTCATTAAACATTAGTTAAGTGGTGAGTTAAAGGATTTGGAAACTTCAACAAGTTGAAAGTTCAAAGGCAAAGCTGTTGCACAAAGAATCATGCTCTCCTTTAAAGACGGTCATTGTGTAGAGAAGTTACAGCTTTGAGTTTTCTTCTTATTGCTTGGTTCAGCTTAGACCTTAAATTTGCATCTGCACTAGTTAAGCCATTCTCTATTTTCAGCTTCACGATCCCTGGTATTTGCCTGCCAACTGTGTGCTCATTACATTCAAGGGGAAAATGTAATTTATCCTCACTTTCTCGACCTCAAAAGATATGCCCCAGCGTTTTTGCTTTTAGCACATTTCCCTCTCATTTCTCTGACTTGCTGCTCTCCACCTTCTCACTTTCATCTCGAGGATCCTTTTTTTTCTCTGAAACCTCAGACGGCTTTGGTTTCTGAACCTGACTGCTTTCAGGTGCCCCCTCTTTGATTTCTCCATTGACAGTTGTCTTCTCCTTCGGCAACACAGTTTGGTCTGTTTGGGTTTTATCGTCACTGTTCAGCTTCTGATCCTCCGCTCCAGGAAGACTTTTCACATCAGATTTAAGAGGCGACTCTTTCTCTTGGCCTTTATTGCTATCGTGTTTAGCATCTTGAATGCTTTTTGCTACTTTATCCTCAGCTTTTGCGGCGTCAGATTTATTTATTTCCTTCGGCTCTGTTTGACTGTTTTCCTTTTCCTCACTCGTGGGTGTTGAAGTTGAAGTTACTCGAGCCTTTTCTGAAAGCTCCTCGCTCTCTACGGGCGGAGCGCTCTTTGTCTCCGCTGTAACATCTGTGGTTTTCTCGACTGTTTCTGAAGCCAAAGTGTGCACCTCATCTTGCAATTTAACAGCACCGCTAAGCTCTTGAGGTTTGTCTGATTCTTTGGACACTTGGGCTGAGGTCTCCTCAACAGGCTTCTTCACTTGAGCAGAGATAGAACTGTCCTTCTCAGCGTCTCCTTTTTCACTAACATCAGATTTTCTTGGAGGTTCCTCGCCTGCACGGATCTCTGGCTTTACATCTTTTGCGTTTGTCACTGCAGCTTCTTTCTCAACTTCTGCCT